TTTGATGGGCGGGGGGGGGGGCCCAACGGGCAGAGTTGAATTATACCCTGTCAGTGTAAAAATGGGCTGGGATCTCCCCGGCTAGTGAAACTGCAACAAAAAGGAGGTTTTCATAGATACATATACTACAGAATAGGATACCACAGGGATTCCTTAAATATAGGTCCCACTAAATCTGAAAGGACAAGATTAATATTCCACAATGGGTACCTATGGAAATGTACTGTGCTATAACTACTGTAGGCTTCAGTATCAACAGCAGGCATCTGAGAGTCAGTGACAACAGGAGAGATTCAGATTTCTCAAACTCAGTAGGATAGAGTACCCTCATGTTAGACAAGAGGACACCCTTAAGACCAGTACTGCTCTTGAGGAAGTTAGCAATGACAATATGACTAGAACTAAGTACTTGACACTGATGCCAGCCAAAGTTACAGCATCGAAGACAGAAGCACCACAGCAGTTGAGATGGAAGTTACTTAGCATACATATGTAATACTGATGCTCTGAAACTAGCTCCCTTCAAAGGTCCAACACTACTCCCAGTTAGGCTGAGGAGTCTCTTTAGAACTGTGGCTTAAGCATCTTTCTAGCAGAGGTTTTGTTGGGAACTGGTCTCTCGCTTCAACAGAGGAGCCAGAGGAATGCTTTCCTTCCTATTAAAATTTAGTTTTAATGTCCCTAAATTAATTTTAAGCCTGGCCATAGGCGACTGGTGCCTCCCAAGTCTGGCAGGGCACCAGATCACTGACGGGGAAGGAGGGTCCCCCAGTGGCCAATCGTCAAGCCAGGCACTTCCAGGGGGTGCACATGCACCCCCTGCGCATCGCCAATAAGCCTGGCTTAGGGAGATAGGACCCAAAACTATCTGAGCCCACACTCTGATAGCTGGTGTTTGTTAGAAGAGGAGGGCTGGACGTCAATCAGCTTCAAATGATTTAGTAGAAACATTTAGCAGGTCCCTAGCAGGAGTGCTGCTGCTAGGGACTGCCCCGGTGGCACTGCCTACCTGCGGCTCCTCGGAGGTCACCACCCAGACGGAGCCCTGCCCCATCTGTGGGGGCAGCCTGGTGGGGACCCTGCAGCAGGGAGTGAGAGCCCTCTCACCTGTTCCTCTTGTGCCCACCTTCAGGCCCTGGAGGAGCAGAAGCAGGTGAGGGAACTCCAGGAGGCAGTGAGCAGGCTGAATGGGATCAGGCAGGATGAGGCTGTGATTGACAGGTACTTCCATTCTTTACAGCTCCAGATGCCTACGGGAGAAACCCCACGAGAGGGATCTGCAGCAAAGGAGTGACAGAGAGTCACCTCCAGACCCAGGCAGCAGGAGCAGGCGTCAGCTTCCCCATCGAGACTGGGGAACAGGTACGAGGCCCTGGCAGCTTTGGTGGAGGATGCGGCAGAGGAGGCCGCAGAGGAAGTAGTCCCTGCAACCCCCACTGGACAGACTGGGGGACCACTGCCCAGTCAGAAGAAGAAACGCCGGGTTACTGTGGTGGGCAACTTGCTCCTGAGAGGGACGGAGGGGCCAATCTGCCGACCGGATCCTACGGCAAGAAAGGTCTCCTGCATGCCCAAAGTTAAGATCAGCGACATCACCGAAACGATTCCTGATCTCATCCGGCCCTCTGACTACTACCCGATGGTCCTTGTCCACGTGGGCATGAACGATGTGGCTGGGAGTAGTCGTGACCACATCACAAAGGACTTCCATGACCTGGGGGCCGAGCTTAGGAAGCTGGGGGCACAGGTGGTATTCTCCTCCATCCTTCCACTTGGAAGCAGCTGGTGGTGCCAGCATGCCGGCATCAGGGTAGTCAACCAGCGGCTACAGAAATGGTGTCTTCGGGAGGGCTCTGGATTCTACACCCACGATCAGCACTTCCAGGGAGGCGGCTTCCTGGGATGGGATGATCTTCATCTCTCTCCTAGAAGTAAGTGTCTGTTCTCCCACAGGTTGGCTGATCTCCTCCGTAGAGCTTTAAACTAGGTTCGATGGGGGACAGGGAACCAGTGGTCGAGGAGAACCCAGGGTTGGCGAGCCACAAACAAGGCACCGGACCAAACCAGGTAGGCACTAAGGGGCACACTAGCCATCAAGGCAAAGGGGCACCAAGAGCACCCCTTGGGGGGCTAATGTGTCTTTACACAAACGCCAGGAGTATGGGGAATAAGCAGGAGGAGCTCACACTCCTACTTGCTAGCACCCAGTATGACCTGGTTGGCTTAACAGAAACATAGTGGGATTCTACTCACGACTGTGTGGTGGGCATTGAGGGGTACAGGTTGTGTAGGCAAGACAGAGTGGGGAAAAAAGGCAGGGGTGTAGCTCTGTATGTTAGGGAGCAGTACACATCTACCATTATCAAGGCAGGGGAAGAGGAGAGGAATACCGAGTCATTATGGGTCAGGATACAGGGGGGTCCAAGGGAAAAGGACTTGGTAGTGGGGGTCTAATGAGGATGACGAGCTAGACCTGGTACTCACCAGGCAGCTCTCAGAGGCCGTTCAGGTGAAAGAAGCGGTGGTCACGGGAGACCTAAATTACTCGGACATCTGCTGGGAGTAACAGACGGCCAAAAAAAACCGCTCACATAGGTTCTTAAACTGCACGCAGGACCTCCACCTAACCCAGGAGGTGTCCAGTCTCACTAAGGGTAACACCTTGCTAGACCTGGTCTTAGCAACAGGGGATGATCTTGTGGGGGACCAGCGAGCGCACAGTAGCCTGGGAGATGGTGACCATCATTTGGTCGAATTTACAATCCAACAAAGGGTGGGAAAAATAACCAGCAAGGCTAAAGTGTTAGACTTCAGAACGGCCAATTTCAGTAAACTTAGAAGGCTAGTTAGTGAGGTGGTTGAACTCAAGAGCATTGAGCATATGGGGGCCCAGGAGGGTTGGCAGTTTCTCAAGGCAGTGAATCTTGGGGCACAAAGTGAGACTATTCTATTACACTGGAAAGGGGGCAAGGGGACTAAAAAGCCCCCTTGGCAGAACAGGGAACTCCAGAAAAGACTGAGGGCAAAGAAAGAGATTTATAGGTGGTAGAAGCGGAGGGCAGGCATACACCACCCTGGCATGCTAGTGCAGGGAGCCAGTTAGGCAGACCAAGGCAGGGGTGGAGCTTAGGCTGGCTACAACAATCAAGGACAATAAAAAGTCCTTCTACAGATACATAGCAAGCAAAAGGAAGGCGCAGAGGAGCACAGGGCCCCTGCAGGACAAATCAGGACAGTTGACGGCCAACACAGGGAAAAAGACGGAGCTCTTCAACAAGTTCTTCACTTCAGTACTCCTAAGGACTGGCCAGGACAATTCCCCCAATTTGAACATACATAGATGTCTGGAAGGTACCAGACCACCAATGGTTAGTGCTCATAGAATCACAGAAGTGGGGTTGGAAGGGACCTTGTAGATCTTCAAGTCTGAC